CCACGGGACCTTTCACAGGGTCACAAACCTGGCAGCACCACCCCGATTCCAGAGCCCAACAGGCACCCGCTTCCCACCGTGCCGACGGGCAGCCCACGCGCACGAGACGCAGGGCGCTGCGGGACGGGTTTGAAGAAATCCCAATGGAGGCTGAGCAAACGCAACAGGAAAGTCGGTACTCTGGGCAAATAAAGAAATAAACCCTTTCCACAACCCTCTGAGTTGATCACGGGGCCTCAGGCCTGGGAGCCTCCCTTCCTCACAGCCTGCAGGCACCCAGCACGTTGCTACCACAGTACTAGCTAGTCCACCAAGATACTGACCTCTCCCCAGGAGAGCTGGTATGGGACAGTAAAGACAGCTTAAACCATATATTTGCATCAGTAACATTAAAAAAAAAAAATCACTTAGGGAAATTCAGGAACTGCCATTTCATCCTATAAAGCCAACATTTAGCAAGTAACAAATAGAGAAAATTGGAAATAGGGTAAATCTGCAGTTTGGTGAATCAGAAGTACTGCATGTTCTGCCCACATCGATCACCTCTTCCGCATTCAGCTTTGCCCCCAAGAGAAGGTGGCTGAGTTTCCTTTAAAATAAGTAGCTGCATATTCTCTGCGCAATTCCTGTACTTGCTTTCTGAGAACAGCATTAATTTTCAAAGAATTTGAAAAGTAAATCTGTTAATAGGCTTAGGAATTAATATTAATTAAACACAAGCTCTTTCAGAAATTTAGAAAAGCGCACAAGACTTATAATTTTTCCTAAACCCTGCAGTTTTTGTGTTAGAGTATTATTAGTGCTTCAAACTTCCCACATCAAACTGTGGTTTTGCATTTGCCCCAGATTCAAACACTGTGCTTTAAGCAAGAATTCTTATTTTTGATAATTAAACCTCTTTCTTTTGGCACATGTTAAAGAACACGTAGTCCCTCACCAAGGATTTCAGGGAGAACTACCTCCGTCCCAAGATCTTCCATGGATCTCAGTTTCAGAGGAAAGGAAATCACTCCAAAAACTGCCTCCAGTTAATAGCCATTTTGAGACTGATATCTCCATCACTGACCTCTGTGATCACACATTTACATGTCTTGAAATGACTAGATTTAAGCCAGAGTTAAATCCATTACAGCTGACAGGTTTTATTAAATTGATACATCTGAAAAAAATATGGATGAGCCCTCCAGCTCGGCAAACCGCCAGGTCAAGCTAAGGTTTAAGGTCTGTTTTTATTGCACTACTGTCAAAAAGTTACCCAGCATTCCTGAAAGGCAAAGGATGTTGACACAAACACCCCTATTTTAAGATGAATATTACGATTTTGTTTTAAAACCTGCTAACGAATTGAAACTTGTGAATGCACTGAACAATGTCTGATCAGCCCTCATCCTCCCTCCATCTTACCTTGCAGTCCTTGATTTGCTGCAAAGGGATAAGCCTTTCAAAACTCTCTTTAAGCTCATCAGAAATCCTGTGAATTAAAACTAGGTATGCGCCAAATCAGGAGCTGCAGAGTACCCGAGGACACTGCAATCTGCATCCCGCTGCACAGTCCCACCCGACGTGGCTCGGCAGCCAGAATCCCAGGCCAGGGACAGCAGCGGTGTCGGCGCCGCCTCCCTCCTCTATCCGCCCCAGTGCGAGGTAACGGCAGGTACGAAACCCATCGTGCAGTCTCGAGGGCCCTTTTCTTAGACGTTTTACATTAATGGGAAACACTACGCCAGAACACAGTCACGGCAGAACATCCCAAGGGTCCGGACTGTCAAAACATCAAAATCGACTGTTTGATTTATATATTTGCTAACCTTTCCTCTGAGTCTTTAATGGCACCTAAGAACAGTGGTTTACCACTTCAGGCATTAAATTGCCACTTGGATGCAAGTGACATTCTCCCCTTCTGACATGCTGTTGCTTCTGGGACTGTCTCTCTCTTGTGTCCCAACGAGAACCTCTAACACCCAAGACACCAACACTGCTCGAGTGTGCAGAGACCAGAGCCCTGACCGCGGATGACTCCTCCGCACAGGCAGGAAGCAGAGTTTGTACCACAGCTCCTCACATCACAGCAGACTCGGGAATTTCTCCCGACTTAGAGAGCAGCAGCCTTTACGGAGGAACAAACCCAGTGCAGCAGCAGTACCTTGCGTGGAAAACACCTTTGGGAAGAGAAATCCACCAAGGCAAGCTAAATTCCTTGGCATGGGTCTCTGGACAGCTCTTGGAAAGCACACAGCTGCTACCTTGGAAGCGTGAGAAGTGTCTGTGCTCTATGTCAACTTCTTTCTTTGGTCGCGACCTCAGGTGTTAAACCAAAAAAATCAAATCAGTGCTTCAGTTCTCCTTCCCTCAAGCAGGAAACAGGGTATTGACCTTTCTTTCAAATACACTTGGAGACGTGTAAATGAAAAGCAGTACATAGGAGCTGATTATTATTATTATCATAGCTACTAGCAATAGTCCTTGAGCTGTCTAAATCTCCCAGGTAGAATTACTTTGTATCATCACGCAAATCTCACAAATCCTTTAAAATCTCCACCTGAGCATTACGGCCTGGATGGCGGAGGCAGGAAAGGAAAGGTGGGAAGGAAAAGCCTTTCCTCTTCATTGGAAACAGGACCCATTCCAAGAGGAATGAATCTATGAAACACTTTTCCCTTGGCACGGATGTGTTGGTAACACGGCTCCCCAGGAACAGTTCTGCCTTTTCATTTAGACAATGCGACACTCGGTACATGTTTAGCTCTGAGACCTTCAATTTGTCTCCCTGATAGCTATGCTTTGTGGTGAGAAGACAAACACTTATTAAACGAAACCGCCCAATTCCCTTCTCTGCACATTCCTTTCAGTTTGGGAGTTGGGTCTTTTGTGAGGTTCTGAAAAACCTGAATAAAATGCTCCCAGGGCAAGTGATTACATCTGTATTTTCAACATACCCAAGTCTTCTCCCTTCATCTGCTTTTCACACTTCATTTTTTTTAAGTAGTGCAGAGAGCAATTGCTCCTGTACTCAGGGGTGAGAGCTGTGGAAGGGGCACAGGCTCCATAAAAACAAGACTCACACAGCATCATTCCCTCTCACCTCACCTGAGGACTCCTGAAGTCAACGGTCTGATCTCAATGGCTTCACAAATGCCAGGCCCATGGAAACCTTGACTCTGGAGTGCACACACACACAGCTACTTACTGAGCACTACATTACAAAAACAACCTTCAAATATACTTTGTTTAAGAGCATACTTTGATTCAAAGCTAATATGAAACAGAGCATTCCTATATATTTTTTGTGAAAGAAAGCAATGACCACTGACCACTTAATGTACAGTCCGGAGTGTAAATCATTTCATACCAGGGCAGACTTAATTCCAAATGAATATTTTAGCAGTGCATCAAAAAAACACAGACATGAGGTAAGGGGTTTTTTCATCAGGCCAGAAGTCCATAATATCCAAAAGAATTTAGTTTCCCAAGAAGCTTTGGAGTAATTGGCCCCTATTCCCTGCTCTGCAGCAACATTGTTTAACAGCTCGAGTCCCTAATTAAGTTTTTCATGCCAGGGGAATTGTGAAAAGCAGCTCAATTTTCTGCAAGGGAAAGGGAGCCCCGGCTGCAGGGTATCAGATCTCTGACTCAGCAACGGGCAGCAGAAAGCAGCTTGGTTTTAATCTCTTAATCCCCAATCTATGCATGTGTTGAAGGGTACATTTTGCGACCCGAGTCATTTTTATATTGTACAATATTTCTAAAAAATATTATTTTTACAGTGTTTTATGATGAGAGAATAAGCATTAGATGTTTATAAACGCATATGAGCTGAGCACAGAAAATTTAAATTCAATTTTTGAAAAACAAAACAAAACAAAAAAGACCCTCTTGTATTCAGACAGGGATAGGCCTTTATGTCAAATGTACATGATGATACTGGAGATAATGCTTGACTGTGAAATGTAATATTTGCTTCTGTATGTAAATTACAATATCCAACATTTCTGCTTTGTTCACAAACTGCAAACAGGGGACACACGACAACACGGATCTTTAACAGCAACCCAGATTCTTCCCGGTTGTCTAGCAGTGGCTTTTGTTGTGGTCTAGTGAGCAATACCCTAGACAGTACATAAAATTCGAGTACCTGAAGTGTTTTGCTGGTTCTAGGAAAAAAAAAGGATTCAATTGCAATTTAGTAAAACCTAAGATGCAGCATGCTAGGAAATTTCTAGAACTGTCTGGGTTTTAGGCTACAGATTTGAACCTCTGCTCAGAGTTTTTGGTTCTGGGTTAGTCCCCAGTTAGATGGACCCGCTTTCCACTCTGCAAAGAACCTGCCCAGATTCTCTGAGGACTTCAGCCTGAGCAGCTACCAGTCTTGGAAACGCAACGCACTGCATGCACATGGTCACTTCTGCTTTTCAGGATTTGCACAAGTACAACCCCAGGCTCCCTGCTCTTAGCATTAGCAGTTAATTTAAATTAATTTAGCTGTACGAGACACTTCTAGTGCTCTCCAGCATGCCAAGATTTTATTATTATTTTTTACACTCTTATCTCTCCTTAGCAATTATTTTATTAGCAGGAGAGAGAAAAATAGCCACAGTTCATTGAAATTCCTTCAGTTTTATCCAAACGGCATTTCATCTTTTGATTGTGTCTTTTGACGTGCACGATGTGTAAGCAGCTTCTGGTCAGTGCCCATTTTACCACATTTGTGCTCAAAATTTGTTCACTGAAGAGAATTCTGTAGAAAAAAAGCCAAAATTCCAGGAAAACCACTTCAAGTTTTGGCATTCAAAACTTACCTGCAGAAGTCCCTCATTATTTCCTGCACATCCATCAAGAACACAGTATATAGGCCACGAAACCTATATATAGACTACATCAGGCAATTGAGATCTGCATATTGTTTCTTTGAACTCTAACAGAAATGTCTGAAAGAAAACATCTGTGTAACTTGTCACCTCTGTAGCAGTAACACTTAAGGCTTCAAAAAGAAAGGCTCTTACCTTGAGAAACAAGGCTCCCTTGGAAGCCAAGGAGTCCGTTCCTCTTCCGTTGGGGTAACAGTGATAAGCAGCATCCATAACAGGATAGCGGCTGGCAAAAAGCAGACCACTGTTCACAAACTTAAAGCTACAGCAGCCGTGGCAGCTGTAGACACCAACGTCGTAGACAATGTATTCAAAATAGTGATGAAGCTGCTCTTTCAATTTCTCTGCAGCCCTTTTGTCAAACACTTCCTGCAAACACAGAAAGTCCAAGTTGGCAGGGAAGAAAGCTGAGATCTCGTGATCGAAGGTCTCATCCGTGTGTTTCTTCTTCCGTACTGAAGTCTTCTTCATGATTGAAGCTTTGTAGAGAAGCTTGTTGTTGACAGTGCTTTGGTCCACTGTACCATCTCCAATGCGAACTTTAACCAAGGACTCTCGTGAGGCAGTGTAGCTGTCTAAACTCCCAGAATCTCCCTCTTTTTGCTTGTGGTTGGGCATTTTTGAGTTCTCCGCATCGCCGTCCAGGGACTGCTCTGCCAGGCCGCTGGCGTTTGGCTGCCCATTGACAGTGTCTGCTTCTGTGTCTGACATGAGGCCGTTCTCTTCTCCATTAATGCGAACGATGCAAGAGTTTTCTTCTTCATTTGGCTCTCCAACTCCAGGCTTATCCTCTCTAGCATCCTCACTGTTGTTTGAGCCAGAATTGTCTCCTTTATACTCCATAGATGTTGTCCTTTTCATGCCAACATTGACAGTACGGTTGGTGTTATCTCCACTCTGAGGGGAGACCAAGCTGCTAAAACTTGCTGCGCTGATGGATGTGTTAGTAGGAGAATCTATGTATATTTTGATCTGCGGTCTGCTCGCCCCATTTCGGATCCTCCGGCCAATCTCTTTAGCCCTAGCCTGTGTATTGAAAACATTATTAAATCTCGCCAGAGAATCTGGCAGCAGACAAACATTGGCACTGCCAAAGCAGAAGCTTTTCCCAGCTCCCGCAGCCTTCCACTCGGTGAGCAGCGCGGCTCCGTTGGCATGGCTCTTGTCTTCCAGCCTCGAGTAGACGTACGGCCTTCGCGCCGACTGCAGCGGGGACCAGAGCAAGAAGCCGATCAGAGCAAACGGGAGAGAGGCTACCAAGAGCGCCAGGTAGATGGGGGTGGTAATGATGATGCAGAGCGCATGAAAATAGCAGGGATCATCTGCTCTTTGACGCTTCTCATAGGTGGTTGGAACAAAAGAGGCCACAAGCCGATCTGCAAGCCAGTAACATGGGAAAATGAGGCCCCAAGAAAAGGAGTGCAGCACTGACAGAAAGCTGTTGGGAAATGGGGAAGTGTATAAAACCATTGCAGCTCAGTGATGACAACACTTGAGGGCCTACTACATGATGTCACGGTCAGCCGCCCAGCAGAACACGGTGACGGGGCTGCGGAAAACTGTCCGGCCACGGGTTCTTTTCCAGCGAGAGTCAGTAACCAAACCGTAGGAGCACGAGCACCATTTCACTGCGCTGGAGTAAAGAGGAAACAAGGCCACAGTTTTCATCTGGCTTTTTGGCATCTACATTTGTCAGAGGACGTCACTGTTTGCTGCACGCTGCCATGCCAAAGCTCTCAGGAGGCAGAGGGAAAACCTGTAAAGACAAAAACCAAAAAACATATGTAACAGTTAATAAAAGCTCCAAGCAGATTTTCTCACACCAGTATTGCCTTGAAAGTGAGATTTCTTTTTTCCCTTGTTTAATATAAAATGGTATTTTTAATGGCCTCCTGGAAGATCACAGATCTGGAGAAACTCCAACTACAAGCAACTGGTATTTCTGCAGAGGAAATTAGTGATTTGACCATTTAATCCAAATGACTAAGGTTGTCATAAAACATATTTCTATTACAAACTGTAACTCTTATACTAAAAAATATCCTTTAGAGTTTCTTTTGTTTTCTAATACCCCCCTCTAACACTTCATGCTCATTTTTATCAGTGACTTTCAAACCTTCACAAACGCTGTACGGCAGTTATCTCTAGGCAGCTCTAAAAGAGCTTCTACTATTTTTAACAAATACTTAAGTTACCTCTCTTGAAGTGACAGCACCTTTCAAATAAGTGATGTGGTGAAGGTGTAAGTGCAAAGGCACCTCGTGTTCAAGGACAAAAATGTTTGCTAGGGAAAAAATATGTGCTTCAGAAGCCTTTTTATTTTTGGCATCTAAAGAGATGAGAATATTAATTGGCATGTCCTCATTTGAAATTTGGTAATTTGATTTATATTTTAAATACCATACAGGGTACCTTGAGGCAGATGGACATTTTTATAACTCTTAATAGCAAACGGCAGAACAGAGCTAGATGGTGGCAGGGGAGAGAAGAGGCAGATTTGAAGAATGATACCACTTTATTAGCATCAAAATAAGGAAAATGCAATTCTTCAGTATTCTCTCACCTTTTAGACTTCTGCTTCTTTAAAGCAAGCCCTTGTAAATGATTTATGTTCCTACTGCCAGCACATCTTTAATTGTGGCATACATGTGATACCAGACTGCAGCCTTGGAGTGTACTGTACTGTGGTCAGAAGCGATAAATAAGGCACTAAAATACATCATTTGACTAGCTCTCTTTTTACCACATATGTTTTTTGTCTATTAATGATAGGAAAACTCTTCGCCCTCTCTAGATTCACAAGCACCAGGATTAAGAATAGTCGCAGAACATCACTTGTGCAGCCATGCATTTTTGCAAGGCACCATGGCAAAAATTATTTTAATAAAAGAACCACACAAAGGTGAGAACTTTTTGCAGATGTTTTTTCCCAGGTGTGAAAGTCATCCCTGGAAAAAGCGAGTGTCGTGTTAGACTGAAAAATGTAGTAAGAGGGTGAGAAAGGCTCAAACTCCCAGAGACAGGAATCAATCCTAGAACTGAATGAGAAAAGACAATTTAGGTGGGAACAACATTAAAGAGTCCCTGAAAAGGAAGCCAAGTAATTGGTAGCTGAACACTGTAGAGAACGAAGAGCCAGTGGAAGGATGTATAAGAAAGGGTGGTAGCACCACAGTTAGAGAGAAGGACTTCTAACCACAGTGTTCTAACACACCTGGCTGTCCCCCTGCGAGAATAACACACGTCTGCTTCCCATAGCCTTTCTGTTTGTGCTAGCCAGGCAGTCACACAGACTCCTTGGGTTTATGCAGTCCTGTGCAGGTCTGGGCTGATGGAGCCATTCAGATGAAAATTAGAGAAGCTCAGTCAAGGGAGGCTTTTTTTGAATTATTAGCTCTGCATACCCTTCACAATCTTATACAACATGTTTGAGTTTACAAGAATGATTGACTAGTAAAATACCAAACTCTTAGCATTACTAAACGCCAGCCATATTCTGGGATGGTGCCAGTAGGGGGAAGTAGGGCGGATCTTTCTTTTCCTGAAGATTTTTAGGACTCTCTAGTAACAGTGCTCAGAGACACCCTGGCAAATACACGTCAGACAGAAAAGTAACTTTAAACCTGTTCAATTACGTAATTACCACTAGATGAGAAACAGTGGAAAGAAGTGATCTACTGGATACTTAACTAGGCTTATTAAATCCCTGTCTAATTACATAATCACTGAGCAGAGCAAGAAGTTTCCTGGTAGCAGCAGTGTCCCGGGCAGACTGTACACTGCTGGCTGGGATATAGGACGTGCGGATGGACTGCAAACCCTGCTGCAATGTTCAGGCTAACTACCTTTCTACGGAAAGCTACAGTCATCTGGTTCATGGCACAGGTGCATTTTATTATTGCATTTATCACTTACATTTTATTAAAGTAACACATTAAAAAAAAAGTAGGCCTGCAATGGAGCCACAGTGATTTGCCTCATCTCATCATCTATAGATAAGCATTTTCTTGTAAGGTGACAGGGAAACTTGACCCAGATCTCTGGGAAGCCAGCACAGAGTGGATGCTGTGCCATTCTGGAGCATTAATACGCAGCAAGGTAAACAGCTGGCTAACACACCATGAAACGCTCTACTAAAATGGCTTCACGAAAGCAGTTAGCCAGACTATGGCTAAGGCAAAGGAACTCACGCTCACCAGAGTTGCACATATACTAGCTAGAAACGAAGAACAAATTCAGCCAGAACTCCTTCCTCCAGGCAGGATTGCACAGCCTAAAGCAAACTGGTTCAACCTGAGGTCTGTCTTAACAACGGTTAGCAAGAAACACCAAGGACTGAAGATGGCTGCAGGCCGTAGCTGGCAACTCATACACTTCCTGCGCCTGGAGCAGGGCTAGGACGTTGGCAAACCCTACAAGATTTGCTGGAACCTGCTGCCAGCTGCATTCCTCACTGCTAGGCAGCTCTGCGGGGAGGCAACGGGCAGCTCAACACGGACACTCAGCCCAGCCACTTCTATACACATTTCTGATACTAGTCTCACAGCTACAGAGCTATGGAAACTCTGGCTAATTTTTAAAATACAATAGTTGGAAAAGAGGAAGAAGGAATCATGAGCTAATATACTTGAATGCTTACATACTGCAGACAGCAGACATGAGCGCATCAGGGCCCTAATCAGAAACGCTCTCTCAGAAATATTATTCTCACTTGTTAGTATAGATGAAGAAAACCACACAGTTCGCCAAAGCTCCGTCAGACTCTGCAACTCACTCACAAACAGCACTCAGGTTTCCTCCTCCTGCATTTGAGCTGTAAAACCACATGTAGGCCTCAAAGCCACCCCAAAAACAGACCATGAGAGGAAGGGTCACAAGGGACGCTGTAGCATCTTGGCGAGATCTTAAAGGGGGAAGGAAGGAAGGCACTGCGCGAGCCAGCTGCAACTTGGCAAATGTGACGCCAGTAATATCTCTCCTAATGCAACGGTTTAGATGGAGCCTAAGGCTAAAGTGCATAATTCCTTGTGACGAAGGGTATTATTTGGTAATCCAGTGCTTTATTCATAGGAGCTTGGGAGATTAAGCGTGAATTTAAGATATTGCAATGAAACAGGTATTTTTGTCTGCTGTCAAGACGTAAACTGCAGTCTTGCTTGGTTGTTTTATTATTTTCTAAGTGTTTGAAGTCTAAAAAAAGTTTTTTTTTTTTTTTAATGGTGCCAGTATAGAACATCTCAACTTTAGCGATAACAAGACATCAGGTGGAAAGGCTTCAGAGATCTTTATGATTATAATTATGCCCAGAAGTGTGATAGAGACAGATCAAGAGAGAGATGTTCCTAGCTGCAATATAACTTGCAAACTAAATAAAGGACAATTCAAGTCAACAAATGGGGGGGGGGGGAGGGAGGAGGAGGGGGAAAAAAAAGGATAAACAACTGAGGTTGCAATGATGAGGTCATAGTGACAGTCTAGAAACTGTCAGAAAAATTCCAAGTTTCTTTCCCTGCAAAATAAAGACACACTTTTACATTGAGGCAGATCAAATTTCTTCAAATACCAAATATTTGCAGCCTTCAGTTAAACATGTGCGCAAATCATAGCAAGAATATATATTTTTAATAAAAAGTGAGCAAAATTACTCAAGTACATCGCTCATTTGGAAAGTTAGGCTCTGGGTGCAGTTTCTATTCACACAATTCACAAACTAGTTTTTCTCAAGTGCTGAAAGCTGCGTAGCCTTCAGGAAAAGCAGCCCCACTCCACTTCTACTCTTGGATTTGAGAGAAGCCATTTAGAATATTTTAACTATCTGCTAATTTCATGTCTTTAGTTTCAAGTGGTTCTGTTTCTGAGGTGCAGAGCTTACCCATCCTACACCATGCTAAATATCCAAACTGGTTCGGATGGGGCAGGATGAACATCTGCGCACCCGTCTGCTTTTCCATGGCTCTCCATGCTCGGGCAAACGCGGGTCACACAGGAGCTGGCGGCAGCGCTCCCACACAGCACATGGGGAAAGGACACAACTCCCACCCCGACTCTCATCTTTGCTCATTAGACCCACCACAACTTAATCTCTGCTTTCCTCCATGGCATTACCTGGTTTTACTCTCTTCATAAAATTTCATAAATTCTTTCTCTTCTATGTGCTCTTACTGGGAGTCTAGTTCAACAACTAACTTCCTCACCGAAAAAACCCAAACAAGCCTAGGAAAATCCACACAAACTGTTTTCCAAGTCACCTGTATTTACAGGCCTGCAGCTACTCAAGTCAGCAGTTGCTCTAGTGGAGATGCTTCCTGTTTCCTTCTGCTCGGTTCACATAGGCTAAAGTTTCAACTCAAATTCTCTTGTCTTGCACAAGACTTGCTTCATGAAATCGCTTGAGCTTTCATTTAAGTCAATAACAACATCGCAACTGACAAAAATCCAACTCAGCAAAAACTAGTGTTTTTAGATCATTTTAGATCTTCTGGATCTATACAAGAAGCCAAACTCAGTGTGTTACCCATACTGATGGGGGCAGC